TGAGCTACCGACCTTCCAGTCTGCAGTTCAGCATCTTAACCACTTGAGCCACCACAGCCCCCTATCTATACCTTGTGGCTAATAGCCACTGATGGACCTCTGCTCCATATGCTTATCTAATTCCCTTTTGAAGCTGTCCATGCTTGTAGCACCCACCACTTCCTGTGGCAGTGAATTCCATGTGTTAATCACTCTTTGGGTGAAGAAGTACTTCCTTTTATCCGTTCTAACCCGACCGCTCTGCAGTTTCATGGAGTGCCCACGAGTTCTTGTATTGTGAGAAAGGGAGAAAAGTATCTCTTTCTCTACCTGCTCTTTCCCATGCATAATCTTATAAACCTCGATCATGTCACCCCTCAGTCGTTGTTTCTCCAAGCTAAAGAGCCCTAAGTGCCTTAACCTTTCCTCATAGGGAAAGTGTTCCAACCCTTTTATCATTCGAGTTGCCCTTTTCTGTACTTTTCCCGAAGCTATAATATCCTTTTTAAGGTGTGGTGACCAGAAATTGCACACAGTATTCCAAATGAGGTCGCACCATTGAGAATTTTAAAAATAAATAAACCCTGTGAAGCGCAAAGGGGAGGGGGGGCTTCTTCTCTCTTGGGAGGAGACCCCGTGTCCCTCTCCATTTTCCTTCCTCCTCAGCAGCATCCCTTCCCTTCCCCTTTCTGCTGAGGAGGGGGAGATGCTCCGGATGCCCCCTCCCTCCACTCACCTGTGCTGCTATTCTGGTGGAAGTGATCCTGAAGTGTCACCAGGCTTTCTCTGAACTTTCTCTCAGTCTCCTGCAATTCCTTGTCTGCCTCAGCCAAGTACTGGCGATCGGCCTGCTTCACCTTATTCATCCAAGCGGCTATGAGCGTGGTCTTCTGAGTTTGGCTGTCATAGCGAGTGATAAGCTGGTCATCCACATAACCCACAGCAATGAACTGGGGCAGCCCTGGGCTGGGCTCTGACACGGCGGAGTGGCAATTCCTCAGGGAATGTGAGGAGGAGGAGGAGCTTGCAAAAGGGGAGAGAGAGAGAGAGAGAGAAAAAGGGGTTCCTGGTTCTGCGTCTGCAGCTCTCGGTGTTTCATTCTCCAATCCCGTCACTAGCAACGATGACATCTAAAGAGCTGCACTGCAAAGTTGGCTTTGGACCACCCCGCATGATACATCTCTGGAACTAGAGTCCTGCAAGGCGCCAGATGGCGTTGCTCGGTCCAAAGCCCGGATCCTGAGCACAGGGCTCCAATTGCGATTCTTCGTGTTAAAGATAAAATTGGGGGGGGGGTGTAGCAAGAAGAGAAGAGATTGGATTTCTACCACGCCCTTCACTACCCAAAGGTGTCCCAGAGCGGCTTACAAACTCCTTTCCCTTCCCCTCCCCACAACAGACACCCTCTGAGGTAGGTGGGGCTGACAGAGCTCTTGACAGAAACTGCTCTTTTTCAAGAACAGCTCTTGTCAGAACTAGGGCTTGCCCAAGGTCATCCAGCAGGTGCAAGTGGAGGAGTGGGGAATCAAACCCGGTTCTCCCAGATTAGAGTACGCGCACTTAACCCTACACCAAAATGGCCCATGTCATTTTCCTTTTTAGAAGTTATTTTATTTTGTTTTAAAACAGGTGTCAAAGTCATTTGTTACGAGGGCTGGATCTGACATAAATGTCACTTTGTTGGGCCGGGCCATGTGTGCTGTAAAATGTAACACCGGGTACCAGAGATATAAACTTTACAAAGGACACAGGCAAATCCAATTAACGATATTATTATTTATTTTTTTAATTTATTATACAAATTAGAAGGAGAGCGAAACATCAAAACAGGTAAGATAAACTATACACATCAAATTGAAATACTATCGCCATAGGAAAGATCTTAATGTTAAAGAACAAGTTTCTAAATAGTCAGATACAGTGACATATACAATCTATATTGTATTAGGGGGAAGGCCCGTTGCGGAAAGAGGCAACGAGGCCTAGGGGGCCCCCTCGAAGCAGGGCCGGGCCAGGTGAGGGAAGCGCAGCACGGCCAACTCCCCCCTTGGAGGTCCTCCCAACGCAGGGCCTGCAGCCTGCCCGACAGAGGCAGCACCAGGTGTGGGAAGCATGGCGCGGCCGCCTCCCCCCTCCCTGAGCTCATCCGGGACCAGCGGAGGCCCCCCCAACGCAGGGCCCGCAGCCTGCCCAGCGAAGGCCGTGCTGGGCCAGGGAAACACGGTGCAGCCGCCTGCCCCCTCCCTGAGCCCATTCGGGGCCGGCAGAGGGCCGCGCCAGGTGAGGGAAGCACGGCGCAACTGCTTCCTCCGTCCCCGAGGCCAGCCGGGGCCAGCGCAGGCCCCTCCCGAAGCAGGGGCTGCAACCTCCACGCGTCTCCCCACCGGCCACTCACTGGCAGCTCTAGGCGCACGCGGGGCAAGGCGACGAGGCTCATCCCCCCCCCATCCAATGACATGCCATTCATCCTGAGCGGCAGCTGGCGGGCCAATTTCTGAGGGAGCGCATTTTTTCTCGGCACCCCATAGGCCAGAGGCCACCCCAAAATGCTTTTATATAATAGGAGAGATATATCCCAAAAAATTATACATAATATTGGTTGAGGTCTTCTTGAATCTCCTTCTGTTAAGTACGAGACTCAACGCAGCTTTGAATGAACAGTGATTCAGCTTTATTAGAGATTAAGAACGAAGACAAAAGACTGGAGCAACAGGCTCCTTTTTAAACTGTCCGGGCTTAGATAACCACGCCCACAAGACCGATCATTAGGCTTCCCTCCATACCTTGGTGGATTTTGGATACCATTCCAAACTCGTGCTCATATACAAGTTAATACACAACACCTTCTTTTCAGAAAGGGAGGGGTGTTGAAAGACCTGAGTCAGATTGAGGTGACGAGAGAGGGGGTCCTACAACTGATAGACAACTCAAAAACTGATAAATCACCAGGCCCAGATGGCATACATCCAAGAGTTCTGAAAGAACTCAAATGTGAACTTGTGGATCTCCTAACAAAAATATGTAATCTTTCCTTAGAATCAGCCTCCATTCCTGGGGACTGGAAGGTAGCAAATTTCACGCCCATCTTTAAAAAGGGTTCCAGAGGAGATCCGGGAAATTACAGGCCAGTCAGTCTGACATCGATACCGGGTAAATTGGTGGAAACCATTATTAAGGAAGAATTAGTAGGCACATAGATGAACAAAACCTATTGAGGCAGACTCAGCATGGGTTCTGTAAGGGAAGATCTTTTCTCACTAACCTGTTAATGTTCTTTGAGGGGGTGAACAAACATGTGGACAAGGGGGATCCAATAGATATTGTTTACCTTGGTTTCCAGAAAGCTTTTGATAAAGTTCCTCATCAAAGGCTCCTAAGTAAGCTCAAAAATCATGGGATAAAAGGACAAGTCCTTTTATAGATCAAAAACTGGCTAATTAATAGAAAACAGAGAGTAAGTATAAATGGGTAGTTCTCTCAGTGGAGGGGGGTAAGCAGTGGGGTACCGCAGGGATCAGTACTTGGTCCACTGCTTTTTAACTTGTTCATTAATGATTTGGAGATGGGAGTAAGCAGTGAAGTGGCTAAATTTGCGGATGATACGAAGTTGTTCAGGGTGGTGAAAACCAGTGAGGATTGTGAGGCACTCCAAGGGGATCTGTCAAGGATGGGCGAGTGGGCGTCAACATGGCAAATGGGGTTCAATGTGGCCAAGTGCAAGGTGATGCACATTGGAGCCAAAAATCCTAAATATAAATACACATTGATGGGGTCTGAACTGGCAGAGACTGATCAAGAGAGAGATCTTGGAGTTGTAGTGGATAACTCACTGAAAATGTCGAGACAGTGTGTGACTGCAATAAAGAAGGCCAATGCTATGCTGGGGATTATTCGGAAGGGTATTGAAAACAGATCAGCCAATATCATAATGCCCCTATATAAATCAATGGTGAGACCTCATTTGGAATACTGTGTGCAATTCTGGTCACCACACCTTAAAAAGGATATTATAGCTTTGGAAAAAGTGCAGAAAAGGGCAACTCGAATGATAAAAGGGTTGGAACACTTTCCCTATGAGGAAAGGTTAAGGCGCTTAGGGCTCTTTAGCTTGGAGAAACGACTGAAGAGTGACATGATTGAGGTTTATAAGATTATGCATGGGAAAGAGCAGGTAGAGAAAGAGATACTTTTCTCCCTTTCTCACAATACAAGAACTCGTGGGCACTCCATGAAATTGCTGAGCGGTCGGGTTAGAACGGATAAAAGGAAGTACTTCTTCACCCAAAGAGTGATTAACACTTGGAATTCACTGCCACAGGAAGTGGTGGCGGCTACAAGCATGGACGGCTTCAAAAGGGAATTAGATAAGCATATGGAGGCGAGGTCCATCAGTGGCTATTAGCCACAAGGTATAGATAGGGACTCAGGGGCAAGTGATGCTCTGTCATCTTGGTGCTTGGAGGGCGGGGTCAACAGTGGGAGGGCTTCTAATGTCCTGGCCCCACCGGTGGACCTCCTGATGGCCCCTGGTATTTCTGGCCACTGTGTGACACAGAGTGTTGGACTGGATGGGCCTTTGGCCTGATCCAACCCTGGCGTCTCTTATGTTCTTATAGTTCATAATTGGTAACCAGACTGTTTTAAATTTGACCAAAGTTTTAAGGGAGGTCTGTTGGTTTAAATTAAGAGTGAGTCTGGCTAGCACACAGTCATCAACAATATTATTTTTTACTCAAAACACAAACAAAAGCAATTGATTTACTGGGGAACCAACCAATGCCCCAATATATGTATTTTATCATATGCAAGACTAGTTTTTTTTCTTCCAAGGAATACCATAAAATGGGGAGTAGCTGACATTTCCATATATACCAGTTTGTTTGCAGGCCGGGTAGGAGCCCTGGTTGGGCCGGTTTGACACCCTTGTTTTAAAAGGCTTAGAACAGGAGCCCCCAACCTTTTTTAAGACTGTGGACACCTTTGGAATTTTGAGAGGGGCTGTTGTGTGGTGGTCAAACTCCACATTCAGAGGCACTTAACCTCTGAGTCCCAGAGCCAGGAGGCGACATTAGGGGAAGGCCTCAGCCTCTGCCTTGTAGGCCCACCAGAGGAACTGGTTGGACAGAGTGTGAGACAGGAGGCTGGACTAGAGGGACTAGTGGTCTGATCCAGCAGAGCAGTTCTTATGTATCACCAGTCCCTGTAATCTACAAAGGAGTTCTCATTCCAAGAGAACTCAAGACCCCTCCTGGAGTTTGGCAACCCTATTGCACCCTGTGACTGGCAAATGTTTGAGGCTCTCCATCTAACAGGCCTTGTAGCAAACCAACAAAAACCAGAGTAGGTCAGAAAACCTTCCTCTTCTCAGCATCCTGGACACATAAAACATCAGAAGAGCCTTGCTGGATCAGACCAATAGTCCGCCTAGTCCAGCATCCTGCCTCACACAGTGGCCAACCAGTTCCTCTGGAGGGCCGACAACAGGGCACAGAGTCCTAAGGCCTTCATAAGAACACAAGAGGAGCCATGCTGGATAAGACCAATAGCCCGCCTAGTCCAGCATCCTGCCTCACACAGTGGCCAACCAGTTCCTCTGGAGGGCCGACAACAGGGCATAGAGGCCTAAGACCTTCATAAGAACACAAGAGGAGCCCTGCTGGATCAGATCAATAGCCCGCCTAGTCCAGCATCCTGCCTCACACAGTGGCCAACCAGTTCGTCTGGACAGCCAACAACAGGGCACAGAGGCCGAGCCCTTCATAAGAACGTAAGAAGAGCCCTGCTGGATCAGACCAATAGTCCATATAGTCCAGCATCCTGCCTCACACAGTGGCCAACCAGTTCCTCTGGAGGGCCAACAACACGGCAGAGAGGTTGAGGCCTTCCCCTGATGTTGCCTCCAGGCTCTGGGATTCAGTGGTTTAGTGCCTCTGAATACGGAGGCTCCACATCTGAATCACCCTCTGAGTAAAGAAACATTTCCTTTTGTTCGTCCTGAACCTACTGCTCATCACCATCATTGGATGCCGAGTTCTAGTATTTGGGGAGAAAGGGAAAAAGTTCTCTTTGGCAACTCTCTCCATCCCGTACATAATTTTATAAACCTCTATTATGCCCCGCCCCCAGTTATCTTTTCCAGACTGAGAAGTCCCAGAGACTCTTCAGCCTTTCCTCCTAGGGAAAGTGCTCCAACCCCCTCAGCATCTTGGTTGCCCTCCCTCTGTACTTCCTCCAGCTCTGCAATGTCCTTTTTCAGATACAGTGACCAGAACTGTACACAGTCTTCCAAATGAGGCGCACCAGAGATCTATTCAGGGGGAGGGCATTATAATATCGCCATTTTATTCTCGGTCCCTTTTCTAAGGGACAGAGAGCCAGTTTGGTGTCGTGGTTAAGTGCACGGACTCTAATCTTGGGGAACCGGGTTTGATTCCCCATTCCTCCACTTGCACCTGGCTGGATGACCTTGGGGCAAGCCGTAGTTCTGATAAGAGCTGTTCTTGAAAAAGAGCAGTTTCTGTCAGAGCTCTCTCAGCCCCACCTACCTCAGAGGGTGTCTGTTGTGGGGAGGGGGAGGGAAAGGAGATTGTGAGCTGCTCTGAGACACCTTTGGGTAGTGAAGGGCAGGGTGCTGGCCCGTAGCTACCATGGGGCCCACGGGGCCTGGCCTCCTCATATTTCTTCTGGGCCCCCTCCCTCCCAGGCTGCCCCAAAAGTGCTCCAACTTACCACCTGCCCTGTGTTTTCATTTAATCAGCTGGCGGGGCCCCTGAGGCCCCCTCCCCCAAAATCCCCTAGCTACAGGGCTGGCAGGGTATAAATCCAATCTCTTCTCTTCTCTACCACTACCATCATTGGTAGACTGGAGGGGTGGCCCCATGAAGATCAACCATGACATTGCTGTGGTCAGTACCGCTGGATGGGACCGAGTAACAACCATGGGTATCTAACCTCCCTATTGTTATGTAAGATTCTGGGGAGTCCATCTTGTAAATTTGATTCCGTTTTGTTAGATTTTGATGTAACCACTGGGCACTTTAATGTAGATTGTTTTATGCTGTTTTTATGCTGTTTTATGTTTTGGCACATGGTGCCCTATTGTAAGCCCGCTCGCAGGGAGGGCAGGGTGGAAATGCGATAATAAATAAATAAAATTAAATATTGTCGTCACCATATCGCAGAAAGGACACTGCAGAGCTGGAAACAGTATGGCAGAGGGCAACCAAGAGGATGAGGGGGGTGGCTGAAGCGTCCAGGACTTTTCAGTTTAGAAAAGAGAGGACCGAGGGGGACACATGACAGAGGTTTCCTGAAATTTTGCATAGGGTGGAGAGAGTTGCCAAAGAGAACTTTTTCTTCCTCTCCAAAAACTCTAGAAGTCAAGGGCATCCAATAAAGCTGATGGGCAGTAGGTTCAGGACAGACAAAAGGAAACACTTTTTTTACGCAGGTTTAGGTGGGTAGCCATGTTGGTCTGAATCAGCAGAACGAAGTTTTAGTCCAGTGGGACCTTTAAGACCAACAAAGTTTTATTCTGGGTATCAGCTTTTGTATGCACTTGTACTTTTTCGCACAGAAGCTCATACCCAGAATAAAACGTTGTTGGTCTTAAAGGTCCCACTGGATTCAAACTGGAGAGCCAGTTTGGTGTAGTGGTTCGGAGCGCGGACTCTAATCTCGGAGAACCGGGTTTCATCCACCACCCCTCCCTATGCAGCTGCTGGTGTGACCTTGGGTCAGTCACAAACCTTGTCCCTCCCCCCCCCCCCCCCCCCCCCCAACCCAACCCAACAGACAATCTCGGCCCCGGAGGGACTCACCGCCAGAGCCATCCAACAGCAGGAGGGCGACGACCCCCAGGAGCAGGAGCCGCCGCCCGCACCCCATCATCAAGATCCGCCGAGCGGGACATGAGTTTCCCTGCCCGCCGCCATCCAAGTAGCGCAGTTCGCGCAGAGTCGCGCCGAAGTCAACTTTGGAGAGGATACCAGAACAAGAGCCGGGATTGGCCGAGGGGGGGAACTTTCCTCCAATCGGAAAGAGGCGCTCTGGGATTGTCACTAGTCGCTGGGCAGATGCGGCACCGGCAGGGAGAGAAAGTGGGCAGGGCGAGACAGTTTGGTCCGGAGAGCCCCGCTCGGGTTGGGATGGGCGGAGCCGCGGAGGATTCCCTTTCGTGGTGGGAGGGGAACCTCCGAAGCCTTAGTCCTGCCGCGGTCTGATCCCTCATGGCCCGGAAATAAACAGGACCCCGGGGGGGGGGGACTCGGCGCTCGCGCTTTTCGTCTCGTGTGAACTGCGCTGACACGCGTGCAGAGTGGCTCCCCTGCTCGGCTGGCGTTGCAGAGGGCCGAAGCCAGGACATAAAGTTTATCTCTCCGCTACCTGGCATTACATTTTATGACACACATGGCCCGGCCCAACATTTATGTCAGATCCCGCCCTGCTTTAGGCACAGTGCCTAGGGCCCACGGTTCTTTTAAGGGGCCCACAAAAATATTTTAATTTCTTCGAAAATCAGAAGGGGGGGGGGGAAATGAACTTTTAGGGTTTTAGGAATGTAAAGTAAAGGTAAAGGTTCCCTTGCTCGAAAGCCAGTCGAATCCGACTCTAGGGTTGCGGTGCTCATCTCCGTTTCAAAGCCAAAGAGCCAGCGCTGTCCAAAGACGTTTCCGTGGTCATGTGGTTGGCATGACTAAACACCACCCACCGAAGTGGTACCTATTTATCTACTTGCAATTTCTTGCTCTCGAACTGCTAGGTTGGCAGGAGCTGGGACTAGAGACCGGAGCTCACTCCATCATGCCGCACCCGGGTTTCGAACTGCTGAACTACTGTCCTTCCACAGCCTGCAGTTCAGCCTCTTAACCACTTGAGCCACCGCAGCTCCTTTTAGGAATGTAGGGCCTACGAAAATCTATTACATTTTGCTTAAAATGGGGAGGGGGGGATAAAATGTTTTAATATTTCAAGTGATATCAAAAATAATTTTTAGTATCAATATTATTGAGGTCGGAGGGGCCCAGGAAGGCAAAAGTGCTGAGGGCCCACAGAAGTTTATCCGGATTAATATTTCAGCAACTCCATAGGACCCTGCCTGGAGCCAGTGTAGCCTGCCTGGAGTCAGTGGGCTCAATAGTTGTGTCTCAGGCACTCCAGCCTTGGAAGCAAACGTCTCTGTGTGCCCCACCCCTGTGCCAGCACCTCGGAGACCCTTTTTTGGGAAGGGGGGGGGGTCAGGGACTCAGTGCTCCCTCTAAGCTGAGTTAGTGTGAGCTAGCTCACCGTTTTTTAGCCTCCGGCTCACACATTTTTGCCTTAGCTCAGGAAGGAGGGCTCCAGAGCAAACTGATTTCTGCAGTAGCCAAATTGCTCACTCACAACTTTAGTGCCAGTAGCTCACAAAATAGAATTTTTGCTCACGAGACTCCATGGCTTAGAGAGAGCACTGGTCAGGGTCACTCCTATATGCAAAGTTATGCAGCCTCATAAGAAGAGGTCAGTTTCTGAAACGACCCTGGTGGTGGTGATGGGATTGGACCAGAGCCCCACACACAAACACACACTGGAACCCAGTTCAGTGGAACCCCCCTTTCTCTGTGCCCCTTTGAAGCAGGAATACTGGAAGGAGGCCACCGAGAGTCAGAAGAAGAGTCAATTAGATCTTTATTGTACGCGCAGGCGCAGCCAGAGGCACCACTCAGGGCACTTCCAAAACAGAGCTGCGCCCCGAGAGGTTGGGAGCTTTGGGTTAAATAGTCTTTTGCAAGTTACAGAAAGGAAAAACAGGAAATTACATGTCTAGCTGATAAAGACAGTAACCATGAACTTTGCAACCAAGCGTTCTTTCTCTTTGCGACCACAAGACTCTCTTGGCTAGGCTATGAGTTCCTGTCTTCTTCACAGGTGTTAAGCTTCGCTTGCGGTTAGGCTAAAATTTCCTGTCTTAGAGGCAGGTGTTAAGTTTCCATTTAATGACAGTCGTTTTTGGCAATTACACTTTTGCAAAGTTAGCTCTTATAACAAAATGCTTAGCAACACCCTTATATGGTCAAGCACTTTCCTATCTTTAGCACAGCTCTATGCAGTTTTCTTGTTCTCCTACTTGCAGAAGCAAAATGCATTTCTTTTAATGAGTTATCAGTTACATAGCTTTTGGTATATTGTTACACAGCAAAGCACATACAGGTGAATTACAGATACCTGCTTTACCTTCTATACAGACTTACCAGTGTGTTGATCATACATTTCAACTATTTGTACCTCACTTTCCCATAACTCAAAAGTAGCTTACAAATTCAAATTTCTAAAAAGAAAGACGAAGAAGAAGAGATTGGATTTATACCCCGCCCTTCATTACCCAAGGGAGTCTCAGAGTGGCTTACAAACTCCTTTCCCTTCCCCTCCCCACAACAGACACCCTGTGAGGTAGGTGGGGCTGAGAGAGCTCTGACTGAGAAACTGCTCTGTTTCAAGGACAGCTCTTGTCAGAACTAAGGCTTGCCCAAGGTCATCCAGCAGGTGCAAATGGAGGCGTGGGGAATCAAACCCGGTTCTCCCAGATTAGAGTCCGCACACTTAACCACTACACCAAAGCACATAAACCCCTTTGCCCCTAAACAGTGCCTGCACCCCATTACTAAGGACTGGTTTAGTTGTTGATATTTTAAATTTTTGGCCTTTTCCTGGCTGGTGTTTGGAGGGAGGGCTCTTCCTAAGTATAGGCTGGTAAAGAGTGGGGTATTTATTTACTTCACTGAAACTGGACCTTTCTCCCCAACGAGCTTACACCGTTACCCTGTAATAGCACAATAATCCTGTGAGGTAGGTTAGGCGGTGCCTGTGTGACTGAGCCAAAGTTACCAAGGAAGCTTCCCAGGCAGAGTGGGGATTTGAACCTAGGTTTTGGCCACTGTGTGACACAGATTGTGGGACTAGATGGGCCACTGGCCTGATCCAACATGGCTTCTCTTACGTTCTTGTGTTCTTATGTCCGACTCTTCGCAACCCCATGTCCGACTTTTCGCAACCCCATGGACCACATCACACCAGGCCTTCCGGTCTTCCCCCGTCCTCTGAAGTTGGCTCAATTTCATTTTCGTTGCCTCTATGACACTGTCTAACTATCTCATCCTTTGCCGTCCCCGTCTTCTTTGACCTTCAATCTTTCCCAGCATCAGGGTCTTCTTCTCCAGTGAGTGCTCCCTTCTCATTGGGTGGCCAAAGTATTTGAGCTTCAGTTTCATTATTTGGCCTTCCAGGGAACAGTCCGGGTTGATTTCTTTTAGGATTGACTGATTTTGTCTTCTTGCAGTCCAAGGGACTCTCAAGAGTCTTCTCCAGCACCATAGTTCAAAAGAATCTATTCTTCGGCGCTCGGCCTTCCTTATAGTCCAACTCCCGCAGCCATACATGACTACTGGGAATACCATTGCTTTGACATCTGGTACCATGAAAGAACTGAACATTTTGGGAAGTAAGGGGGAAGGACTCAAAAGATGAAGGAAGAGCAGAGGAGGGCCAGAAGTACTGTGACATCATCTGCCACATCCCAGGAGCAAAGTTCAAAGTGGAATTCGAAGGCTCAAGTAGACTCCACAGCAGGTGGGATTCCCTGCCATCAGGTCTGGCCAGCTTAACTTTGAGTGAGCAGGAGTGTGATGAGGTCAGGTTAGGATGCTAGACTGTTTTCAATCAGGCTTTGTTTCCTTTAAGGATCCTTGCCTGGGACTCTGTTCACTGCTGCTTGTAAGTCCACCAGGCCCCAGCCCTGCTCTAGAGTTCGGTCTCCCCTGGCAGGGGCCTGAGGTGTGATTTTGGGACCTGACATTTGGTGTGAGCGGTGGGATACTCCGGAGAACAACAGGAGTAAGAGTCATGCCACTGCTGCACCTCTTTTAGGGAGAGAGCAGAAAAACATCAGAGGAAGCAGAAGTATATCGAAGTGACTGGTGTTCTGGATGACTTGCCAGCTTCCGGAGTCAGCTTGCAGTGTCTTTCTAATTTTGAAGAAGAGATTGGATTCATACCCTGCCCTTCACTTGGAGTTTCAGAGCGGCTTACAAACTCCTTTCTCTTCCCCTCCCCACAACAGACACCCTGGGGCTGAGAGAGTTCTTTCAAGAACTGCCCTTTCAAGAACAGCTCTGACAGAACTATGGCTTGCCAAAAGTCATCCACCAGCTGCAAGTGAAGGAGTGGGGAATCAAACCTGGTTCTCCCAGATTAGAGTCCACACACTTTTTTTTACCCAATAACTTTTTATTGTTATTAATAACGATTTACATTTGAATTACAGTACTTTGCAGCAATTATCGTAAATTGAGAACAGGAATACAGAGGATAAAACGAGAGTAACTAAACATGTAAATGTTTTAACACCATTATTGCTTTAAGAGTAACCATTACTTGTAAGGCTTATGCAGTTATTGTGCAATCTCTTTTACTTATATAATATCACCATCACCCACACAGTAGTAGCTCAAATTTGGGATTTTTTATAGTCTCCCAATCGAATTTGTCTATATTTATTTTCTCTATTATTGGATACCATTTGTCTAAAGGGTTAAGTAATTTACTTTCCGCATCTTCTTTGTTTGTCCATATAGAGACCTTTTCTTGCAAGAAAGTCCCAAACTTTATGTAGCCACTGTCGTATAGTGGGAAGGGTGTTTGCTTTCCATTTGCTTGCCAGGGACAGTCCGTGCACTTGACCACTACACTAAACTGGCTCTCCAATACCAGAGGTTTCAGAAATCCAGTGTCATTGGGTCAGAGGCCAGGTTCCAGAAATTAATCAAGGCAGTGTCAGCAGGTTCAGCATCTAATGAACATGCATCCACACCCAAAAAGTTATCTCAGGAGATTTTATAGCCAGCAGCCCAAAGTCAAGCATGCAGCCAGCTTCTCAGAACAATCCTGCAAAGATTCATTTTCACTATCAGCAGCCAGCAGACGTTGAGCAGAGAGGCATGCACTGTGCCACCTA